TTAATGCAAGTCTATATATTATTAGTGTATGTTAATTAGATTGGGCCGAAAGTATTTAAGGACATGGATTGAACTTATCTCGTTTCCGACGAAGGGGCTGTGCCCCGAAACGTATTTATGTATTTATTTGAAATTTAATAAAATTTATTTCTAACTTGAAGTTTTATATAAATGAAGTTTTTTTTATATATATATATATATATATATATATATATATATATATATATATATATATATTTATTTATTTATTTAGAAAGATTTTGCAAGTACAGTTGATTGTTTATAGCCAGTAATTGTACCTCAGCTGCTGTTTTTATTATACTTTTAGTATAATAATAGTTTGTTAATTAACACGATTAAACAACATACATAAGGCAGCCTAACTTGAACGAGACTTACTGTATTGATAGTATCAATACAGTCAGTCTTATGCCAGTTAGGCTGCCTTATGTTTGTTGTTTAATCGTGTTAATTAACAAACTATAACGATACCAAAAGTATGGTTATAAAACCAGCATCCAACTGAGCCAAGATACCATTACGGGCTATACACAATTTTATGGTACTTGTTAAATCTATCATATAAATATATATGATAGTTTTGCATTAGGGTTAAAACTATACAATGATGACCTGACATGTTGGTACATTTTTTTTAGGAAAACAACCGATCAACCAGTGAATCGAAAGATATTGATAGTGACAGTATCATAAGTCAAGAAGAGAGCGAAGAAGATGGCGATGAAACATGGGTCCACCCATTAAAGAAAATGTTTCTAAGTCAAAAGGATTAAAGCGTCCATTGCAAACAGCAGCAGAGCCATCCAAAAGAGTTAAGCTTTTAGATGAAGCGAAAACTGCTAGGGCAACAGCCGAGGGAAAGAAAAATGACGGAAGCATAGATGATGAAAATGAGGCATGCGAGCAATCTGCAGAGAGAAGAAAAATTCCTTGCCCCATGTTTGCTTGCAAAGCAATTGTTGCCCACCTTCCCAGGCATATGCGGACAGTTCATCATTGGACTAAGGAGGCGGCGTCCAAAGTGTTGTCCAAGTTCAACATCCGCAAACGGAAGAATGAAAAAAAGCAAAGGAACAAAATTATCACTCTCGCCGGCGTTGTCCACTTGCTGATTGTCATTCTGTCATTCAGCGTTTGCCTGCCCACTTGCAACAGGTACACAAACTTGATAAAATGTCAAAAGAATATTGTGACGCCATGCAAAACGCTACTGTTGTCCCAGATGTCAGACATCTTCAAATACGTTGGCAAGAAGAACGTTTCAAGACAAAGAAATGGGAAGGGGGCCCTGAAAGCCAAACTAACATAGCCGAAGAATACCACACACACCAGAAGGAAGTTTGCAAAGATGACGAACTCCGCTGGGATGACAGTTCAAGCTCGGGGAGCGATAATGATTGCGACGATAACGAAAACGACGTTACTGTCGAGGACATCCCAACAGCAACAATGCCCGTTCTTCTGGCAGAATTTGAAGACTGGTTCCTGTCACCAGACGGAGGCAAACGTGATGAAAAAACTGTAAAACAACACAGTTCTCAATTGTATTCTTTGTTGAAAGTTATAGACGACGAAGAAGATATGCAATCTCTGCTGGATGTCAAGCTGGTCCGCCAAGTGTTCTTTGAAGAGCCACGTAGAGAAGAAAAGATACGAAGCTGGGACCATTAAATCGTACCTGATGAGTCTTCATCATTTTTATACGTTTCTCGTATTGGACAGGCCAGAAAATTTTAATTTTGACGTTGAAGAAGTAAATGCTGCTAGAGAAAAAGTAAAGTTGTGGTCGGCGTCATACAAGAGGGAATCGAGCGAACGGAAATGGCAAAAACTTGAAGAAGACATGTTGAATCGTCTAACTCCAGGAAATATTCGGAGTTTTGAGAAAAGTCAGACGGCGAGAGAAGCAGTCAAAATAATCGGAAAGCATTCAGACAACTCACAAACAACGGTAGTGACGCAGCAGAGTTATACCTTGGTGCGAGATTTCCTCTTCACACAAATTTTTATAGACAATGCTAATCGTCCTGGCGTTCTTGCTGGCATGACCATTGACGAATATAAAAGAATGACGAAGCAAGATGATAGCTACATTATAACGGTACTCAAACATAAAACCTCACACGTTCATGGCCCAGCTCGTCTAGTCTTGAGTTCAAAATTAAAGTCTTGGCTCTCGGTATTTGTTGAGGTGATGCGACCACAAATCGCAAGTGCAACGTGTGGAAACGTGTTCTTGACGTGGAGTGGAAAGGGAATGATATCTGGGCATATAACAAAGGCTGTGCAGTCAGTTTTTAAAAAGAGTGGAATCAATGTCAAAGTCACATCGACATCGTTCCGGAAAGCTGCGGTGACGGCAGTTCATTCTGGCAAACCTACATTCAGCGGAAAACTAGCTCGTCATATGGCTCACAGTGAAACAACTGCTAAAAAATATTATCTCCTGACAGAAAAAACAAAGGAATCGGTGGAAACATCAAAGGAACTTGGAGAGTTAATGAGGTGTGATGGTGAAGAGCAACAGGATTCGGGTAAAAAGGGCGACAGTGAAACCAGGGACAAAGAGGACACTGCTGGCGAAACAGAGTGTGCAACAAATCAGAAGGGCGAATGGAACGACAGTGATTTTGAGAAAGTCAGGACAATATTTGGAAAAGACATCGCTGCGAAAACAATAACAATGGAACGTGTTCGCGAGGGTATTGAATCCAACGAAGAACTTTATGGTATGTCACCTCGACGGATATATGACAAAATTAGAAAAACGATAAACAAAGAATCGGCATCTTTGCAAAATATTCCTGAGCTGCCCCAAACTTGTGAATCGTTGGAGGATAAGCTTCAACGCTTTGAAGAATGTAGTGAGACTGTCGATGAAGAATTGTCCACAAGCATAATTCAACCCAGCGAAAGGAACAGTAATTTTACTAACGAGGAGATGAATTCTCTTCAAAAGATGTTTAAAGACATGATCACTGAAGACAAAAAGATCTGTCGCATCGAAATCGAGAAGAGATTGTCTACAAACAAAGAAGGAGAAAATATTTTGAAGAAACTATCGGTTCAGAAAGTAGTGAATCGCGTTAAGTATGAAAGACGAAAACACAGGCAACAACCAAAATAACTCAAATGCACATTGTGATGCAGATAAACCTAACCGAACATGGTTATCTAAGTATACGTATAGGTAATAGCATGGTTTTGAGTGCAATTTGGATATAACATGCACGAGTGAGTTTTTCAAAGACCTCAAAATAGCACGAGTCCGAAGGACGAGTGCTATTTGAGGTCTTTGAAAAACTCACGAGTGCATGTTTATCCAAATTTCACGAGAAACCATGCTATTACTTATTAATAATTTACATAAAAATGTTCGAGACAATTGTAATTTTAACTTACGCGTTTATAGCGAACATTCCACCGGCAAACTTTTCCTGGCTTTGTTATATCACATTATGCAACGCTAACAGCTTGAAAATTCCACTCAACTATGTAATTCTTCTTAGTCTTGTTTAAGGTTACCCTGGATTCCAGGCTCTGGAATCCAGGGTAGTTTAAGGTCAATGCTTTTCCATTTAAAAATAAAGATAAAAGCCATATTTTTCACGCGAAAGCGTGTAGCGCGGCGCCATGTTTGTTTTGTTTTGAAGCAATCTGTGACCGTTACTTCTTTAAACCACGGAGTAGATAAGACATACAGAGACGTAACTGACCGTTGTAAACACTGCGGAAGATTACGATATCATGTACCCACTTTTTTTCAGGCGACCGGGCGAAAATGATCAACTGCGCTTGCTCAGCAAGTTTAAAGTGAGTCATCATCAGGTCGTCATCCAATCAGATGCATGCATCTAGTGACTTGCCGAGCATGCACACAAAAAAGTGGGTACAGTAGTTACGTCTCTGTATGTCTCTACTCTGTGTTTAAACTAAATTGCTTTAAACTGATTGGTTGATTTAATCATCACAATGTTTTTCCACCAATCAGATCAGTTTCTTACAGATTTTTGCACTGTGATTACAGAAAATTGCATTGTGATTACAAAAAATTGCACTGTGATTACAGAAAATTGCACTTTGATTACAGAAAATTGCACTGTTGTTTGGGATTAACTGCATTGAAATCAACCAATCACAGTCGAGTAATATCTTTATGTATATTATTATGTAGGTAATTATAGTCAGTTCGTAGATAGGACATAATTATTTTTATTACATTTGTAATAAAAATTATTTCTATATACGGAGTGCCCATCGTTTGGTATATAATAGTGAAATATATAGCTAATACCCTAATTATCATTAACGAGTTCATTATTTCTATAAATATATGGCAATATATACAGATAAATAAGAGTTTAGGAGAGAACATTATTTGAACTAGCAAGTAGTAGCATATAGGATTTATTTTTTCATATTATAACATGGTTACAAAGGTTCTAGTTACGATACGTCGTTATTATGAAGGTTTTTACATAATTTTGTAATATTTTTTTAGCATTGTTTAGCATTTTTTGCAAGATTGTAAATAGCTGCAATTTTATACATACGAGTCACGTTTTGGGGGCGTTTTCTATTTTTCAGTTTAGCCTCTTGTAGCATTATGGTTATATACGGGTAATCATTCAGAATTAGCAAGAATTTATAAAAAACAGACTCAAACAGAAGTCTAAAAATAGCAATCACCCTTGAAACGCGACAGGTATAGGTTCTTGTTCTTGATGTGTTTTTTTCAAAATTAAAATAACGGGGAATAATAAATGGTTGTAGTTGATTCATTTTCATTACAGCAATCGTACAATTGGTCGGATTTAACCCTTTTTGCCCTTACGAAAAAAAACACATGTAAATCATGTTAAGTTCCTTGTAGGTTTGCATGGTAAAGTATCAATAACGGTTTCGTTTTGTGGAAACAATATACCTGGTGATACGTAATATACGTGGTGTTTCCACAAAATGAAACCGTTATTGTAAATCATGTGTTTCACATATGTGAATCACATGCATTTCATACATGAACCACATGTGTTTCACATATGAATATCCCTGGTCTATTTGCTAATACATCTGGCTCACATGTGCTTTTTTCTTGTGGATTAACATGGTGGGCGTGACCTGACATGAAAGCGATCGATATTGGACAGAGTGCCTCCACCTATTAACTATAAAATGTTGTACCTACTGTACATCGAAATTCGAAGTGCCACTTTGTGACATAGCTGTACTGTATATGTATTTTTTTTAGTTCGATGTAGGTTTAAAAGGAATAAAAATTAGGTTCTACCGTGGAAGATTTAAAATGCAATATGAAGCTTGAACGAGAGTTAATGCTGAACACTTGAAAACACTTACGATGTTAGTACTCAAAATGTTACCACTGTGGGCAGCGGATAACAACATAAACCAGCAGCAAAAATTCTACTCACTACCTAAACGATACAATAAGATTCAACAAGGCCCTTTGTCAGGAAACGTCGAATCTTATTATATCATTTAGGTATAGAGTTGAACTTTTGCTGCTTGTTGAGAATGTCAGTCCACCTATTTGGCTATGCTGTCCAAATTTTTAAACCTCAAGTTATCATTGAAATAACTGCATAGTTTCATTGAAATAGTTTCATAATTATCATTCAAATAACTGCATAGTTAATTGCATGAAATAACTGTTTAGTTTCAATAACAATCATAAGAATGCATCATGTTTTTCTGACAAGTTACGAAAATGCCCTATTAGGTTACAAAAATGCCTTATCCAGGTTACAAAAATGCCTTATCGAGGTTACAAAAATGCCCTACATAGGTTACAATAGTGCAGGTTACAAAAATGCCCTGTTAGGTTACAAAAATGCCCTAATGTTACAAAAATGCCCTATTGAGGTTACAAAAATGCCCTATGTTGGTTACAAAATGAACAATTCACATACCTATCTATCTATCTATCTATCTATCTATATCTATATCTATATCTATATCTATATCTATATCTATCTATCTATCTATCTATCTATCTATCTATCTATATCTATCTATCTATCTCTATCTATCTCTATCTATCTATCTCTATCTATCTCTATCTATCTATCTCTATCTATCTATCTATATCTATCTATATCTATCTATATCTATCTATCTATCTATCTATCTATCTATCTATCTATCTTTAGATCAGTCTCATGTCCTTTTTGTAACCCGAAATTGACAGTGCGAGATCTCAGTAAATACTTGGAGTTTCGTTCTGAAACTTTCACAAGATCTTACTTATAAAGTCTATTTTATCATGCATATCGCTCTACACTCGCATTCGCGCTTCCCAGTCTTTTTTTCTAACTCAAGTGTGACCTAGGTTACGAAAAGGAGCACCGCCGTGTATTCGTCAGTTTTTTGTATTTTTTCGCGAAACTGGGAAATCTGAAGGGTTGTAAGCTCAATAATCTTTACCTAAGGAACCACGTTCTTCCATTCCTATCGCTCTTCGAGTTTCGAGAGCAAAAAAGTCCATGAGACATTTGTTATATTCTTACTGCACTTTGTTGTTCAGAGGATGAGTTGTGAAAAGCGTTGATTATGATTTTTTGCATAAAACCCTCTATTTACAACGAAACGATCCTATATTTGGCTTGCATACATGTATTCCATTGCTTGTGTGCTACAGAAAGTTTCAGAATTTTATCGTTTTTACTTCTTCATTAATTTTAAAATTTTAGTGAAAATTGATAGGTTACAAAAAGGAGCAGCTCCTTTTTGTAACCTAAGTTGCTCCTTTTTGTAACATTGTAAAAATATTCTTCCTAGAAATCAATTATTTCTTTTCTAGTTATCTTTTAGTAGTCTGAGACAATCAAAAAATGCAAAACAGTGTGTAATATTTTGCAAAATTCCAATGTTAAAAGCATTTTAATGTCGTATCCATATGATGTAATTATTTAATTCAGGAAAAGGTAAATATATTACTTTTTAATAAAAATCGATATAGTAGATGATCTTCTATGATATTCTAAAAGAAAAAGTTTTATCATCAGTAGGAAGTATTTTTTATAATATTTTTAGAAAATACCCCCACTTTGGAAATAACTCCCTGATAAATTTAAGGAGAGATTGCCCGATTCTTCGGGCAGTTTTGGGGGTATTATGGGATCAATATGGATAATATGGCAAGATGATACGGATCACATTTCACTATTTCCACATGTTGAGACTTGAGAGTGCAAATCAGCTACAACATTTTCGACAGTTTTGGCTAGGTTTTACGGATTTTCACGAGGATTTTCGCAACATCATCTCTTCTGGAAGGTAAGCAAATATTCATTTTATTGTATTTCCCACACAGTTGTAATATTTTCTTGAAAAACGTATGGGGAAACTCGATTACTTGAACACTGTATGTTGACTGCTTGTTCTTACTGTATTAAACAATGTTTTCATTGTTTAAGAAGCCGATTCTTTTCATAATTTTAAGAATGGTTTCTTAAGGATATTTGTATTAATATCGTTTACATTTGTCATTAGGATTTCGTATGTAGTTTGACAGGTATTTAATTAAGGACATAAAACGCACAATTCTACATATTAATGATAAATTGATAATATTGTGTGTTCTGCATATTATGATAATTTGAACTTGATTATTTCAAGCAAAGAGGAAACCCTTATAGCCCACTGCTTTATACATCCAAGTCCTTGAGGGAAACATAGACAATCTTTAATGGAAGGCAACAACATTTACATGCTGCTATGCCCAAGGTTATGTTGGGCAAAACAGTATGTAAGTTTTATTTGTCTTCCAATAAAGATTGTCTTTAAAGGACATTGGCACCCAAAATTTTTATTACTTATATCTATTAGGTATACTTGCGGAATATTTAATTTCATATCTTGGCCGATTTGTCGCGTTTAGTTGTTGAGAAAATTTGATAAAAAGTTCAACAGTTGTCCAACATTTTGAAAATAAGCGCGTATGCTAATTTATGCCACAAAAGACATTATCTGACGTCATTGGCTGGGTAAACACAATTTCATGACTATAAACAATACCGAGTATTGCCACGCGTAGTTCATTTTGAGCCGAAACAAAAGGCAGCAAAGTTTTACCAAGTATGTAACTTGTTTGTAACACTATTTCTTATA